GATATGCATGGCAGATTATAGCTTTAGCAAACTTTCGTAAATATGTTTTTTGATCAAATGCGGATTCTTCACCTTACTGGAGACCATGCTTTAGCAAACATGCATTAATATGAGCTCTACAAGTTGAAGTACCCGCTTTACCAGGTGCTTTATATTCTTTGCCACACGAATTACAACGAGCATATTCTACCTTTTCATTACCTATCGTTTTAAAAAAAAGTGTAATGCTTCCATATACCTGCGGTTCTTTGACGTTTATTAACAGAAGTAGTGATAATGCCGGTATTACTAGCATCATCAACCGGGCCAGAGGCAGCTTGAGAGCTAACAGTATCAAAATTTGATTGCCTCTCATAGTCAAATTCATCATACTCGTGAGACATGACTGAAACAAAAAAAAAACAGCATTTGTAAGTACCAAATGAAATGACAGATTCTAATTGTAATGGTCTATTAAATGTTGATGAGCACTACTCCATACTCTATCAGATTATGCACAAACAAAATTAATGGTTGACAGATTTAGCTGCATCAGAACATAAAATACACAAGTTAAGTAGTAATTCCATGCTTTTGTTCTATCATTAGTTGCCAATTTAATGCAACCTATACAGGCCCTCCAAGTTTTTGCTGAATTTTAATTTGATACAGCTTTCTTGTTCAGAAAAATGTAATTTTGACGCATCTTTTGCTTAAGAAATTTAATGTGACTAACATATGTGCTTATCTTTGTTAGTTTAGATTTCAAATGATAAGTTTCCTGTGAGTTATCTTTGACATTTTATCCCCCCCCCCCTAAATATGTCATTTTTAAGCAATGATGATATACTATTCTTTAACGACATTATTTTTCTGAGTTGCTTCCTGCTGCATTGTAATATACTGGATCAAAGTACTCAAGAATCAGGTTTATTGTATTAGTTCTGAATTTTTACTTCAAAAGTTTCAGAAATAAAAAAAGAAACCTTTCTGAAAGAACAAAGAAAATCATGATTTTGCAGTTTCTGTAAGGTCTATAACAGGATAAATGTGCTAAGTAGTAGCTTACTGTAAGCCAATCATACAAGTATACTAACTTTAAGTACTAACTTTAAGGTTTAGCTCGGTTTCATCTCATGAATTCATTCCCTAAATATGCCCTATTGAGGGTTTGCACAATCAAAAAATGAATTTCCCCAACTCTCTGAAAGTATCTTAACTAAACCATTATCATGAAATATGATTCCTACATTCTCAAGATACTTTACATATATTTTGTGATCTTTCTCATCCAAAGTACAAATGTACAATGTATTTTAAGCAGCACGCCCATTTCACTGGACTATATATGTTCATTTCCTGAGGTAATGGTAACAAACTAATAATTTATCAGTAATTAACTAATTTTGTCAATTTCTCACGGATCAATTCGTTTCTTACTTTCTTTGTACATTGTCGAATTTCGAACTAAAAAAACAAAAACAAAATTCCCTGAAAAAACACCCAAAAAAAAAGTCAAATCAACCAACACAACACAACCATAATTTAGTTCCCCTCCCTCTGGAAATCAAGATCTAGCAACTAAGATCAAATTCATATAAACAAAATTCATACCTTATATCGTCCGTGAGTAGAATATGACAGATCTACAAAAAAAAAGAAAAAAAAATCAATTAAAATTTCAAAAAAAAAAGCACAAATTATACATTGCAAAACAAAATAAATGAACAAAAGAACTAGAACTTTCAAAAAAAAAAAAAAAAAAAGCAGAAATTATAATTTACAAAATAATAAATGAAAAAACAAAACTTAGAAAAAAAAAAAAATAGGAACTTAGAAGTATCTTAACTAAACCATTATCATGAAATATGTTTCCTACATTCTCAAGATACTTTACATATATTTTGTGATCTTTCTCATCCAAAGTACAAATGTACAATGTATTTTAAGCAGCACGCCCATTTCACTGGACTATATATGTTCATTTCCTGAGGTAATGGTAACAAATTAATAGAGGCCTGAGACAAACTAGGCCCATTTAATAAATGTTGGACTTGGGCAGAATGTACAAAGTATGACATTACTTGGAGTTTAGTTTCCAAAAAAAAAAAAAAACACACACACACACACACAAAAACTAAACTAAACTAAACTTGAATATGAAAATCACTACTACAGTACTACTTCAATTCATACAAATATGTTTGTGATAATTAATTTACCTTCTCACTATAATTTTAACTGAATATTGTTAATTTATTAGATTTTCTAATAAGTAGGCAATTACAAATAAAAATGTTATAAAACTTGTTCGCTAGCTATTTCGAGAATTAATGTATTCAACTTGTGAAAAATACTTGTCAAGTTTGAAGAATAATTTATGAATTAGATAGGCGACTAAGATCAAATTCATACACCCAAAAAAAAAAGTCAAATCAACCAACACAAGTACACAACACAACCATAATTCAATTCCCCTCCCTCTGAAAATCAAGATCTAGCGACTAAGATCAAATTCATACAAACAAAATTCATACCTTATATCGTCCGTGAGTAATATATGAAAGATCTACAAAAAAAAAGAAAAAAAAAATTAAAATTTCAAAAAAAAAAAGCACAAATTATACATTGCAAAACAATAAATGAACAAAAGAACTAGAACTTTCAAAAAAAAAAATCAAAAATTATAATTTACAAAATAATAAATGAAAAAACAGAACTTAGAAAAAAAAAATAGGAACCTAGAAGTTTTCAACAAAAAAAAATTCGGAACTTAGAATGAGAATGAAAAATACAAATACCTTATATCGTCCGTGAGTAGAATATGAGTATATGACAGATCTACAAAAAAAACAAAAATTAGAACTTCCAAAAAAAAAAAGAAATTAATCAATTATACATTGCAAACGAATCATTCGGAATAAATGAACAATTGAACAAAAGAATTAGACCTTCCAAAAAAAATATGAAATTTTAAGAATAAATGAAAATATCAGATGAGGAAATGAGAGTTTCAGAGGCGTGAGAAAGCTTGAGAGATTCAGATGAAGAGGGAGATAGCTTAGGAGGTTAGGAGAAAGAGAGAGATGCTTGAGAATATCAGATGAGGAAATGAGGCGTGTTGTGTGCTGGTGTGTTGTGTGCGTTTTAACTTTAGGTTTTACTTCTTCCCCTAATCTAACCGTCCATTTTCAATCTCAGCATCTCACCGTTCATTTTTTTTTTGGTGGTATTAAAGGATCTAGAATGTTCGTGCTTGATCCAACGGTCTTAAATTTTTTTTTTTTCGAGTCTTTTTTACCGTTCCTTTTTTTAAAAAAAAAACATATTATTATTAATTATTTATTATTATTTTTTTTTGAGGTTATTATTATTATTATTATTATTATTATTATTATTATTATTAGTAATAGTATTATTATTGTTAGAATGTTAGTATAATTTTATGTTAATATTCTTATTATAAGTATTATTATTATTATTATTATTATTATTATTATTATTATTATTATTATTATTATTATTATTAGGAAATTTTGGATTTTAACACCTTACAAAAGGTTGAAAATGTTTTTTAACACCCCCCAAAAAAAAACTTTTATTTTAACACCTCCCAAAAATATAAAACTTGGAAGTTAACACCAAAATCCATCTTCCGTTAACAGAACTGTTAGTGGGGCCCACCCCAACGAATATATTTTTAAAAGATCTGTATATAAGAACCATTCTTCCACGATTCTTGCACGATATATAAGAACCATTTTTGCACGATTCTCCCCCAATGAACGAAAACGTTGTTCTTATTGAATAGCAGCAGCGCATTGCATTGTTGCACGATACTTGAAACAATTCTTGCACGATTCTTCCACGATTTTTGAGAAGAGGAACAGATTGAAGCTGCTGAAACAGGTGAGTGCGGTCAATTGTTCGGTTGTTTGGTAATTATGGTTTAAATTCTCTTCAATTATTATTTGCAATTGTTTCGTACTCGGATTAATGGTTGGATTATGTTATGTACGCATCTAAATGCCCAATTGCGAAATTAGGGTTCGTCAGAAATTGAATTTGGGGCTTTTCGTATTATGAAATTAAAAATGAATTTTGTTGCTGTAAATGTTAATTCGTCAGTGTACAAATCTGTAAATGTGATTGTCGATCTAAAATTGATGCAGATTATGTCGTTTGTTAGCTCTTCCCCTCCTGAGGCTAGAAAATGTAAGTGTGGTGTGCCAATGGCCAAGCTCACTAGCTGGACAAGGGAGAATCCAGGCAGGAAGTTCATATCATGTAAGTTTTATGACCCAATAACTGAAACAAGGGGTTGCAAAGCTTTCGAATGGGTTGATCAACCTGATGGAACAGATTGGCAAACAGGGGTTATCAACAACCTGTTGTTGGATAAGAAGCTGCTAAAGGGTGAAGTTAATGAATTGAAAAGGGAAGTTGATGAAATCAGTGGCCAAAGGAGGTGCCTACTTAATGAAGTTGATAATTTGAAGATGAGATGCAAGGCCTTGAACGCTGACAGGAAGAGAATGAACAGGGAGTGCAATGAAGGGAAGGTGTCTTCAATCAGCTGTTTTGGTTGGGTGGGCATGGCCATTTGTATAGGTTTGTCAATGGGTGTAGTTTTCCTAATGGCTAAGGGTGTGTAATAGTAAGTTGTATTAAGTAGTTATAATTTCTTGTAATGACTTGAAGTGTTATAAATATGTCTTTTAATCAACCTATTTATGCCTTGTCTAAGTTGTTAAATTGAGAATGTTTAAACATTGGAAAAGGATTTAAACATGTGAAACATTAAAACATGGGAAATATGTGAAACACTAAGATAGTTCAAGTACAGGTTGACAAAAGAACCTTACTTCAACATGTTTCAATGGCAATCAAAGCCATGCAACCATTACAATTCAATATCTAATTGTTCAAATTTGTTAAGGGATGCCACTAAAAAACTAGCAAGTTACATAACCAGTCATGAGTACATAATAAAAGTTTGAAATTGTTCAACAGACATAATGTTTGATATCCAGCATGAGTACATCACTGAGTAAGGTTGTTGAGGGATTGCAGCCTGGCCCTTGTTACAACACATGTGGCTGTTGTAGGCTGACTTGAGGAAGACCTTGTCTTTCTTTTTGGTTGGCTTAAGGCAGGCTGACTTGAGGCAGGCTGACTTGAGGAAGGCAGAGCTGAGGATGGCTGACTTGAGGATGGCTGAGCTGAGGAATGCTGAGCTGAGGAAGACTGTGGCTGTGGGCGCTTACTGAATGGCAGACAACCTTCTTGCTCTTGAGGAAACTTTTTGTTTCCTATGCTGTTTGGTCCAGCCCCAATTGCACTCTATGACATGCATATCAAAATAAAAAGTCAATGGAAAAAACACATACATATATAAAACAAAGGGGGAGTTGGTGTAATGCTTGTGTTACCTTTTTAGCAGCCCTAATCTCTTTCTTCTTCCTCTCCTCCACCATCCAAGGAGTGTTCAGTGGGGGTCTGCCTGCTGACTTTATCAGCTCTGTAGCTGGTGCAGCAGGTACTTTGCAAGTCTTGGCATAATGCCCAAATCCCCCACAGTTGCTACATTGCTTCTTCCTCTTGGTACTTGCCTGACCACCTGAAGAAGAACATTCTCCTGGCTCAAGCTTCCTTTTTTTGCTCTTTGGTCTCCCAGGTTGCACCTTAACAGAAGGGGGTAGTGGTTCCCTCATTCTGACTCTCTCCCAGTGCTTTGGGCCAGGCATTGGTTGGACAGCTGGTTCATAAGCAGACCTGTATGTGTCCATGGTATAGTATGGGTCAACAGCAGCCTCTATGTCACCCCTCATATCCAATATGCAGGCATAAGCATGAACACATGGAATGCCAGTGAGTTCCCAATGGTAACATGTGCAGGTCTCCTTGTCCAAATCAACCAACACCTGGTCATCCTTCAGCTGCACCTCAAATGTATTCCCTCTGGATGGCTGCACCACACAGGATCTAGCCACAAAGTCTATCCTCCCCAGAACATGCCTCACATATGGCACTAAGTTGTGTGTAACTGTTTTTGAATCCTCCCACTTTTCATTATTCCTGTTCATAATATACCTCCTCATCCATTCCATTTGGGTGAGGATAGGTTTATCTCTGGCAGGCCTAATGACTGCATTGAAAGTCTCACACATGTTGTTCAACAACATGTTGGACTTGCAGTTTGGTGTGAATGCATGTCTAGACCAATGGTGGGGAGGAATGTTGATTAAATACTCATATGCCTCTTCATCGAGGAATTTGATAGACTCCATGGCAATTTCATGCTCAAACTGACATATAAAAGCATTCCAAAAATCACACCAAGCATATACAAGCTAACCAATATAAAAACACACCAACAGTCATATAAAAGCATAGGCTAGCTTCAACAATCAATAAACTTACAATGGTGGTGGCCCTAGCTGCTCTCCAAAACAGCTCCTTAAAGGTTGATCCAGTGAAGTTGAGCTTGAAGTTAGCCCAAATATGCCTCACACAAAACCTTTGCTCAGCTTTGGGAATAACATCAGCCATTGCTTTAATCAAACCCTACCAAATGCAGACAAAAGTATAATCATCAGTCAATCACATACATACACATGAAAACTTAGAAATTGAACCTAAATAGTTAAGAGGGAAACAGAAGCATTACCTTTTGCCTGTCAGACATGATGGTCAGCCCAGCTCCTTGATCATGTGTGAACATTGACATAAGGGATTCCAAGAACCAACCCCAAGTTTCCTGGTTTTCAATCTCCACTGTGGCCCAAGCTAGAGGAAACAAGTTGTTATTCCCATCCTTAGCAACTGCCACCAGAATTTGCCCAGGAAAGGCACCCTTGAGGTGACAACCATCCAACCCTATTAAAGGCCTACAACCCTTTGCAAATCCATCTCTCAATGGCCTTAAACAGATGAACATCCTCATGAACAATGGTGGCTCTGGCCTGTCAATACCATCAACAACAACATTGCACCCTGAACCAGGGTTGTACTTCATCACAGCTTTCCCATAATCCCACACCCTAGCATACTGCTCCCTAGCTGAACCAAATATCAGTAGTTTTGCCCTACACCTAGCTAGCCATGCCTTATAGTAACTCACATCAACTCCTAAATCATTCAAAATCCTAGCCCTAATCTCCTTAATTCTCCAACCAGGGTTACTCCTAAACTCTTCTAAATACCTCTCTGCTATGTATTCAGCAGTAAGCATCTTGTTCTTCTTTACTCTGAAGCAGGAATGGTCTAAATTCAAGGTTTTGATTTGCCAAGTTTGCTGCTTAACAAGTTTTGATGCAAACACCTTGAACTGACACTTTACCCCCCCCACACATGTACAAGCAGGCATTCTACAAGTGTAGCTATTGAACTCACAGCCACATCTATATCTACACTGAACTGTAACCCTTGTACTGTCATTATGCAAGTAGTAGAACTCATACCTGTTTTGAATGGCATGAAGTCTTAAGGCCCTCCTCAAGACTGAAGCATTACTGAATTTCTGATTTAACTTCAACTTGATTGGGTTGTCAAAGTCCACATCAGCATTAAACCAAGGAGCATAGTCCTGTTCCTCATCAGATCCACACAAACTCCTTGAATCATCTGAATCAGCATCACTTTCTGGATTCACCTTCGGTTTTCCAACATCCAAATCATTTCTCAACTCTACTCTCTTATCTTTGCCAACCCTGTCATCTACTGCACTCTCCAAACCTTTCCTAAGGCTCTTGTTCACTTTGGCCAAGATCTCCTTTGACCCTTCAATATACCATTCCTCATCCCCTTCATCAAATTCTTCTTCACCAGGTTCCCAATCTTGTCCCTCATCACTCAAATCTGAACTTGAATAACCAGATCCTTCACATCCATCATCCTTTTCTTCATCAAACCTCAACACTTTAGCATTAGCTGAGGCTTTCCTAGGTGGACTCTCCTCCCTTTGTTCAGTTTCTGTCTTCTTAAACCTAGGGCTCCTCCTAATAGTCGATGTATTTGAACTTTCTACCTTCTTATCCTTTTTTTTTGTCTTTGCAGGATTGGGTTGGGCCTCTTGTATGGGCTGACTAGGAGCTTCTGTTGTTACAAAAACCTCAACATACCCCTCTTCATTTACTGTCTCCAAAAGGCCCTTAACCTCTTCACTGTTAACTAGTTCCCTTTTCCCAGTGTTAAAGGTTTTCCCCTTCTACCTATACCAACAGCTGTAATGCATAGGCACATCCATATCACCATTAACAAAACCATGAATTGCAGCTGTTCTAATCAAATGCACATCCAACTTAGATACTTGAACCTTCCTCTTCCAGTAACACCAACCACCACACCAACACAGCAGCTGCCTGTTTTTGGTTACTCTTTTAGGGACAAAAGCACCTCCCACTCTAAGGCAGATGTCAACCAAACTATCCTTGTCACCCATTATCTACCCACCAGTGAAAAACATATAAAACATATTAAAAGCCATGTAACTATACATGCACAATACGAATAAACAAATCCATCACAGCCACACAAACAAACACATAAAAAAATTGAAAATAAACATATACAAGCCAATGTAGGTGCTCAGTAACATAAATTAATCAACAAACCACACTTGCTAGTTTAATTAACAATAAACCACCTTAATTAATCTCTACTTTCAATTACGAAATCCAATTAACCTAAGTCGCATAGTCAGTTACAGAAATTGATTTATCAAGGCTTTCCTACTGTGGTCCCAAAATTTACCCTAATTACCCAATTATTGCAAGGTTTACAGCAATGAAGCACCAGTAATTGACGAAATTGCTATCAAAGGAGAGCAATTTTACCTTATTTTCTGTGAATTTCAAGCGGCTTTCGCACTTTTGTAGTTGAAGAAGATGATGAAGAAACCCTCCTGAGCTTATCTTCTCCAACGTTGACACCACCCTACACTCCACTTCTCAGCCAAGATCTCCTTTGGTTCAAAAGCGAAATCAATGAAGGTTCAGAAAGAATTCAATGCAGACGGTTGGTGCGAATTCAATGAAGAAAGAAGTTTCGTGTTTTGCTGGGTGAAAATTGAAGTTCAAGCCAATTTGTGGGACCCACGTTAAATTTCCGTGACGGAAATCGTTAACTGGTGTTAACTTCCAACTTTTATATTTTTGGGAGGTGTTAAAATAAAAGTTTTTTTTTGGGGGGTGTTAAAAACCATTTTCAGCCTTTTGTCAGGTGTTAAAATCCAATTTATCCTTATTATTATTATTATTATTATTATTATTATTATTATTATTATTATTATTACTACTTATAAATTGTAAGAAACGCAAATGAAACAAAATTGAAATTGATTAATATGACATAGTTAATGTACATCAATATCTAACATCTCTATGTATAACTATATATATGAATATATCTGTGAGTCTGAGACTTTAAATGTATTAAACTAATAACTTAATAAGTAATAAGACTAATAAAGTAATAAGTAATAACTAATAAGTAATAAGTAGTAACTAATAAAGTAATGAAATCTAACTGTTGTTTTTCATGGGTATTCAATCTAACCGTTGTATATTTGACTATTTGACTATTTGTACATTAGTATTGCATAATGATTTCATCACCACTTTAGTGATTTCGTCGTTTCGTCCATTTAACTTATCAAGTTGTTTGAGTTAGTAATCTAAATAAAGTACCAAACTAAATAACTAATCCATTTAATCTCGTGTAACTTATAAATTATAAGAAATGCAAATATTTGGAAATTGAAATTGATTCAATACGATATTGTTAATGTATATGTATTGTGTATATCATATGGTAGTATGGTACAAATGTACGATTGGTATCATACTATCATTGCCTCATGGCCTCATGGCCTCATTGGTATGTAAGTATGTAACTATGTAATTATGTACGTATAATCGATAAACATATATGTTAAAACTTAAAATTTTAGAACACTTGTTAATCGATCTAATTGAGTACTTGTACTTCCTTAATTATCGATTTATCATACTCTAAGTATCAACTAATTAAATCATGGTCATGAGGCGGTCTTTAAAACAATCATGAATTCATGACCCAAACCGCTTATAAACCGAACCGGCATGATCCGAACCGCTTATAAACCGAACCGACATTGGACTAGGTAAACCCGCCCCTAAACCGGCCCATTTCAAACCGAACCGGCATGATCCGTACCGTTTATAAACTGAACCAACAGTGACCCGGGTAAACCCGCCCCTAAACCGACCCGTTTCAAACCAAACCGGCACGATCCAAACTATTTGTAAACCGAACCGACATCAACCTAGGTTAACCCGCCCCCTAAACTGACCCGTTTCAAACTAAACCGGCATGATCCGAATTGTTTATAAACCGACCCGCTTATGACCCAAACCGAATTTAAACCGTAAAGAAATAAACCGAAACCGAACCGACCCGTGACTAACCCAAACCGAACTGAACCGACCCGTCAGCTAAATCAAACCGTTTCAACCCGAACCGCTCCAAACCGAAACCGACTCGCACCGAGGTCAAACCGAACCCCCAAACCGAAGTCCCACCCCTAATGGTTAGTCATCTAGCCATATATAAAAGGAGGCTAGGGTGCTTAAAACTTCACAAGTTTATTTGCATCTCTATACTTATACTACTATCTTTGTTGTCTTTAAAGTACTTCAATTACTATGGCAAGCAAGGGCAAAGATAAGGTGGATAGCAGTGGTCAATGTGGGGCACCTAAGCAATCTGGTTTAGAAGGGGTGGAGAAACGGGTTAGTTCTCTTGAGAAAAGGGTGGAAGAGCTAGAT